GAATAAAATAATTATATATATATTTATAATAAGTTCCATATTATGTAATGAGGAAAGAAGTGAAATGTCAATAAAATGAACTAGCAGAAGCAAAATATCCCAAATCGATTGAGGTTAAAATGTCGCTGGTAAAGATGCCTCTATAAATATAAGACACCCGGAGGCGTTTGGGCATCCAGATCAGAGTTAATTTGTGAACGATAACTGTTTTCAAAGGACCAATACTTATTATCAGCGAGAGCAAACCCACTAATCAAGTCTTTTTCCTCTAAACCAGGACTCGTCAAATTATTGGAACAAGGTGGAGCCGAACGCTGTCTCTAGTTTATCTTGGCTTGAGTCTAACTGCATAACAAAGCAACCCCAGCAGAAGCAAAGGCCACATATTAAGGCAAATATAAGAAATTACAATGATTTCTTCTTTGTGTTTACTTCGTCGATTTAATCCAAAATATTCTATAGGTGGCAATGAAGAACAAGCAACTATCAGTCTAGCTGTAAAAACGTGCTTTTATCAGCGGTTTTTCTTTCTGTCAGTCCTCTGAGGCGACAATATGCACATCTGTATAGCTAACTGAGAGGCATACATGTGTGCGTATAAATATATGCATTCAGGGTCGCTTATCAAGCAATTAATTAGTGAGAAAATAGGCTTGATGAAAAAATGAGATTGGAAATTTTTTTTACAAGATAAATAAAAGGCACTTGGAGATAGCCCAGGTAATAAAAAATAGAGGCAAAATTGTTTAATAAGTGCGCCGTATTAATACTGAGTTCATTAATATCCAGGCTAAACGTTGATAAGTTAAAATAATAAGCACAAAGTTTTTATTATATATACGTGGAGATATTTTTGCATATATATATATATGCGCGTGTGCATGGGCGTATGCGTACAAAATTGCAGTGACATCATTGCATAAAATGTATGCGGCAATTGCGACAAGAATATAAAGAAAAACATGAAGGAATGGAATGTAAAAAATATAGAAAAGAATTGCGAAACAGTGGAGCACAGATCCGTTTAAGAGTTCGCGAAAGAACTCTGTAAATTCGGGGACAAATTAAGATAGCCCAAAAATATTTAAATCAATCAAGGTAGCAACAATGAGACACATAGAATTTAGCGCAAACCTAGAGATAAGGAAGTTGCTGAGAGATAGAGCTAGATGAAAGACAAAGAAAATGAGAGACAATAGATGACGAATTTTTCATTTGGGATATGTTTCAATATAAGCAAATGTCAGTTTTATTCACTGTTTGGCAAGCAAGCCTGCAAAGTTCAAAAACCTAAAAAAACTGATAAGGGAAACTTAATAAAGACAATAAAATAATCACAGCTAAAAGTAAAGAATAAGAATCAAACCAGCGTTTTTGCTATTGAAAAAAGAGTACAATAAAGAAACTGAATGAATGGAAGATCACAGAGAAAAAGAATGGAAAAGTGAGTCTGTGGGGTTTGTAGGTCTGTTTGCGCAAGAATTATCATAAGCAATGCTTTAAAGAGTCCGGTAAAAAGCAAAACAGCATGATTACCACAAGTGGATATTGAGTGGCGCCAGAATCTGACAAAAACCGTTTGTGTGATGTGTGGTTAGCATACGGGGCCAATTTTTAAAGGAAACAAATATAGTGGATTTGGGTAACTAGTGATCAATAGCCGAACGAATAATAATGATGGTGGTTGAAAGGAAGGGTGAAAGAACACTAAAATGAATTGAAGATATGAAGACTAAGATGGTGTGGCCTTTTGTGTGTTCGCAGTCTGCTTTCGTTTTATAGAGGTTGTTTGACCTTGTTTTCGCAACTTTGTCATATTAGTAGGAAGACTTAGAGGACGTTTCGCCGGCATCGTAGACGGCGATGCGAGTCTCGACGATGCCGGCGAAACGTCTAGGAATGTACCCTGTCCACAATCCAACTTTGGAAATTATAATGCATACAATAGACTCCGGACTAGGTGCGTTCCTCTAAGTCTTCATACCAATATGTCAAGTTGCAAAAACAAGGTCAGACAACAACTAGAATGAATTATTCATAAAAGCAAATCAGGATGGAGGAAATTAGTGATAAAAGTTTAACTAAGCAGCGGATTAAAACGGAGAAAAGCAGAATAACAAAGCGCAAATTTGGAAGGTTAAGAGAAACCGGAAGGAGCGAGAAAAGGACGGAACGTTTCACAGCCAAAATAAACCAAAAATTCAGCATGTTCTATGCTTAGAATGATAAAACAATATATACGTGAAGAGATAATTTAAATTTAAAGGTGGATTAATGGTGAGATAAGTAGACAGGGGGCTAAGGCTGTGGATTTAACCGAAATCTTATGAAATTGTAAAAATAATGGCAAAATTAAACCACGTCAGAAAATTTTTGTGGCAAAATCAATTTTAAAAATCATCGGGTGGTAAGGTAAAGAGGTTAGTTGTCAAGACAAAAGACGGGCAAGCGAGCATATAAATGCGTAGCATAAGATACCTGAAAAAAAGACGAGATTGAGTTACTGTGATTGCCGCGGAGAAAAGAATGGGGAAGAGAGCAAAATGAAGGTAAATGTAGAAAACAAGGATAAATTTTGTCGAGTGAAGTAAGGAAGATAGTAAAAGATGTAAACAATAGCAGACAAAATTTCAAGAATAAGTAAAAATGTAAAATGAGAAATAACGAACAAGAAACTCTAAATTATGAGTTAGCCCTAAATGAGGCAGGACTAAATGTGCAAGAAATAGACGGCTAGATGACATAAGTGAAGAGATAAGTGGAAATAAGTTTGATCAATCTACACACTTCCACTTCGCTCCGTCGCCACCTGTCTGCTTTAATGCATAAACAATAAAATGCATGTATAAATATCACGCCTCAAAGCTATCACAAAATTAGAAGAAAAATGCAAGAGGGAGAAAAGTGCAACGCAAGCAAAATTATAGTTAAACTGGCTCACTTATTTGTGCTCCGCATGGCCCTCACTTAAAATACAATGCCGTTAGAAGAGAGCGTTCCCAAAATCTCGTCAAAAGAAAGATTGCAGGACAACAGTAATGAAGATCGTCTAAAAGATGAGAATTTATCGTAAGGTTTCGTCATCCAACTCCATTTGAGTGTCCAAGGCCCACTTCTTGACTCGGTGAGAGGCTCGTGGCGCCTGAGCCCAACGGGCCAGTAAGAAAAGCAGAAGTGGAGGAAGAGCTGGAATTGCTAGAAAGTGGGGAAATCTCTGGTGCCAGGTGGGCGGTAACAGGTAAAGAGGCGACGGAGTTCGAACCGATAGCAGTGGAGGGAAGCCATACAAAAGGGCCATTATGCTGAGCAACGATACGAAGGACACCAGAAAGTACGGATTCGAAAGAATCGAGCGGAAGAATTGCTGTAGGTTAGAAGAGCAGGGTGTTGAAAATAAGAATAATTAATTAATTAATCATTTCATGGCTTTGGCTCTAAAATGAATGTGTTGGTCGTGTAAATATAAAAAAATAAATTTATTTAATACAAATCCATCAAACATAATTGAAGATGCTATATATAAAAGCCAAGATAGCGTGTCTTTTTATTTTGTCGCGGTCACCTTTTGCTGCAATGTTGGCTTGACCTCGTTTTGGCAAATTGGTTAGGGTAAAAGAAAGACCTTGTGAAATGTACCCAGATCTGTGTCCTCCGACATAGAATTCAAGATTATTTCTAAAATCGAACTGTTTACTTGATACATAACCAGACGTTTGTTCGGTGAGACGCGTCATTCATAGCACAGTTACAGCGTATCAGTGACAAATAAGGGCCATTTCCTGGACTGACTTCTCACCCAACCTTTATGAAAGCAGTCCTCCCCCTTTTTGCATAGCTTCTAGCGCTGCATCACTTTCTCTCAAGCCAAGTGCATAAACCTCATTAACGTATTTACACAGTTCTGTGATCTCATTTGCTCCAATGTCGCCTAAGTGTCACTTCAAGGGTATTTAGCTAAGCCGACGAAACGTCTGGGAATGTGCCAAGTCAATGTTGGAAATCATGATACTATGAAAAAGGACACAAAACTGAATTCGTATCAAAAGATCTCTCTGTCGCGCTGACTAAGTTGGAAAGACGAGGTCAAATCAACACTATACAGTTAAAGAAGACTGCCAACAAACAAAAAGTGACAACATCTTCATATCTAAGATCTAATTAGGGCGTAAAACTTGCAAGACTGATTACAGTAGAACAAAGAAGATAATTGTAAGTCAATCTTGTCACTTGACCTCTCTTACTTGTAAACTTTATAGCATGTCTTCCAGTTTTTGCAATTTGGTCAGAAAGTACCATACTGACAATGTAAATACTAGATCATGTTAAGCTTATCTGCCAAAATAGAGATGAGAAAATTCTTTTTTAGATATTAAGTCTAGATTTAAACATTATTTAAGTCAGATACACAATTCGGAAGATTTCTAAAATTACAGTGACAAATTTTTGAAAAGGATCTCGGACTTTATGAGGAAAAGATACCAGAGGAACGAGAATAAATATGAGATTTTTAGGCAACCCGAGGTCAAATCCTTTGCAAAAAAGAGGATGCCCTTAGAATGACGAATTTCGTAGAGCAAACAAGAGATAAAATAGCGTATTTATCTTTCGTCTCTTTCGACCCCGTAACTACAGGGTCCATGGATTAAATTTTCCACCTCGAATGGAAAGGCAGTAAATGAAATTTTGTGATGGTGATAAATATCTCTGAGTAGCTGCAGAAATAACCAAAATGAGTAGGAAATAAAATCATCTCACCAATTTTTGGCACACCAAGAACTCACAAATTGGAGCAATATA